TGGGGGGGGGGGCAGCAGCTGGGACTGCAAGCTGGCGCAGGTGGAGATGGAGGTGGTATCTTGGAAATACATCTTTATCTGGCGTTCTGTTTCTGTCAAAGCTTGGTCTTGGTCAAATTAGGAATGCTGGCCATTTCAAGCAAATGAGTCAATCACTCAATGAGTTGGAGCTTTACATGACTGCCTCACATGTGCAGATAGGTAGGAATGAAAAGATTGATCCATGTCCTACATTTGGATCCAATAACTAGGGAAGTGGAACAACGTCATTATATGGTTTCACAACTGAAATCCAGCCCCACCTCCTCACGTTAACCCTAATAGATAAATCTGTGGCCATCGTGACATTTCCATGCATTCTTTAAGCAGTGCCTTTCCACAAGTCATGGAGTAGAGCGAGGGAAATTTGTGTGTATATTTTTGGCTTGCACTTCTGCAATGTGGTGCCTGGCTCTGCAAAGTCAAACTGTGATGCAAAACGATCCCAATACAAACTCGCTGCCAGATTTGCCATTGCATTTATACACTTGGCAGGGATGATTGAGGGAGGCCATCGAGAAAGCTGTGGGAGGGAACAAATAGAGTTGCGGTGGGAAAGCATACATGCATTAAAAAAAAAAAAATGACAGAAATAATACATTGGGGCAGTATCAATCGTGTTTATTCTTCAGAAGACAGGTTGAAGGCATGGTTTAAAATGGAGACAAATGTTTCATCCAAAGTATTGCCAAATTTACATCGCTTCTTTTGCTGGCAACAAAACATAAACTTCTTGATTTTGTCCCAATTTCATAAATGTATTACAATGACATGTTTGTGCAGCACATGTGTAATGATCGCATGAGCAGGCAGAAGCTGACGACAAACCCAGGTACATGCCAATTTAAATAATCCATTGTGCTGCTATTATCGGCTTCCGGGACCTTATTTTTTCAACATTGTAGGCCCATGGTGCAACATTTATACAATTCATGGAAGCCTAAACCATTCTAGTATTGCCCGCTTATTCACCAGGCACATATCCAGTATATGTAGAAAGTCATTTTACAGTAACTTGTCCAAGGCATATAATTTGTCCAAGTGATTGAATACATTTTTGCAAAAATGTATTGTGTAGACATTTTACCCAACACCAAATCTCAGAGAAATGAATTTGTAAATATCATTATTTGCAAATACTGCATCGGACTGTATTTGATGAAAGGGGGCGACACTCATTCCGATTTGCAACATCCTAACTGATTTTTACAATCCAAGTGACTCCTCATGTGAAACAATTGACCACTTGCTCCTGCAGTCTGCCATGCACTTGAAATGATCAACACAGCATATCACACAAATAATGTCTGCAAGGGCAATGTAGTACTGGTGTGGTACTGTGTGAGAGGCGACACCCACCGTGACAGAAAATACAAAGAAAAAAATGGTAGAAGTAGTAGAAGTACAAATAGCGAAGTCAACGCAGCTTTTTCTCTCGTTCCGTTTCATGTCTCAATCACGTGCGCACGGGGCTGGGTTTAATATTTATAATTCTTGGCCCTGACAATTCTTCGAGACGATCGAGCAGGGAAAAATCACACACCACAGAATAATGGGTCAGGATAATCTTTCCGAGACATCTGAGAATTGAGCTTTGCTGAACTGGAGCGGAAGGAAGGGACTTGTGTGTACCCTCGTTAAGCCGTTGGCAAGGGAGAGTAAGAAAGCTGTTGTGATTTCCATGATCCCAAATCAGCGGTTTGGTGTCATGAATGTCATATACAAATGATGAAATATGAAGGTTTGCATCACAAGTGGTTAGCATGTCGATTTCACAGTGCAGAGGTTCGATTCCAGCTCAGGCCTTCCTGTGTGGTTTGCATGTTCTCCTCGTGCCTGCGTGGGTTTTGTCCGGGTCCTCCGGTTTCCTCCCACATTCCAAGAACATGCATGGCAGGCTGATTAAACACTCAAAATTGTCCCTAAGTGTGAGTGTGGTTGTTTGTCTCTGTGTGCACTGCGATTGGCTGGCAACCAGTTCCGCCTATTGCCCGAAGACAGCTGGGATAGGCTCCAGCACCACCCACAACCTTAGTGAGGATCAAGCGGTTCGGAAAATGGATGGATGGATGGACGCATCATTACATGTTGATAACTGACAGATGCTGACAACGATGAGGAAGATGTAAGCACAGCACCATGCTGCGATCCACCTAGTGGGTCGCCTTTCCTCTCCCATTCTGCGGTTGCTTGTCGTCACACTCGTGTGTCCCAGTTCAACAGAGCGCCTGCAGAGTTGAGATGGCAAATATGCTGTCTGAGAAAAGAACACAATCACAGCGGCGGTGAAGTAACCGAATGTACTGTAGACGTTGATCAAGGCAGCCGACTTTAAATGCTGAACTAAGATCACACAAATATTCATCACAACCAGTTTAAATCGGGCAGAAGTGTCGACCCTGTCTCATGAAATAACATGTAAAATATTTTTGTGCCTGTAACATTTGTAATTTGTGATTCGAGTTCATATTTATGACCTGCCAAGCGATGATTCTTAAGGTTCTAGTTCTCCGTCACATCTAAGATGCAATGATAGAGAGACTGAAGTGTGAGACTGATACATTCTGACAAATCAATATGCTCACTGCTTTTGCGGGGATGGTTTCAATTGCCAGCTGCAAACTGTCACCTCAGCATATGATCTGCCTTGAAGTGGATGAAAACACTTCTAGAGCTCTTCAGCTCATGTTCACTCGTAGGTTTGTTTCTCCTTTATTCCTCTTTGATTTATTCCTCCAAATGTATGTTTGTACAAGACTCATCGAAAGGTTTTTGTCCTGTCAACACTTTTATTTCTGACTTCAAAGTCAAAGTGCACATGTGAAGAAAACATTGTACTCACTGAAAGAGAGCTTTGATTTGAGTGAGGGAATACTAATGCTCAGGTTTGATGTACAGAATTGACCACTTGTGACACGACATACATGGCAAGGCAGTTCAAGTGGACTGTGAGCATATTTATAACATTTTAGGAGAATTTGAATGATTTATTACAATAAATTATCGGTGTTATTTTATCATTGTATTTATTGAGACACGCTACATGTGCCATTACAGAAACATTTTGATTTTTACTATCCTTTTTCGAAAAAAGTTTGTTTTCTAGGGCTCTGTCTCTTATTTTTCTAGTCTCAGCCAATTGTTGTAATTGTTTTCCTTTCCTTGGCCCCGTGAGGTTGCACCCAAGTCTTTGGCCTGCGACCTTTACTTGAGCACCCGTTTGTCAATCTATGCGGGGCTGCTGCGTGGTGGACAACGAAAGTGCCCAAGTAAAGGTGAAGTTTTCTTGTCACACAATATTGCCCCAGTTTCCAAGCTCTGTCATTTGTCAACAGTTTCCTCACTTCATTCCACGTCCATCTTGTCAGGTTCTCGTACCTCATCTCCATCCAAGTCCAATTCTTCCGAATCTGTATAAAAGTCACTTTATTGCAGGCCACTTCTTCATCTTGTCTTTTTCCAGCTGTTTTTCGCATATGCTCAGTCCCTCGTTTTGCTCCCCAACCTCAAAGGCTGAGAAGCATGCTGACCACATTCCTGAGATCACATTCCTAAGCCGCGGCAGCTCCATGGCCCTGCTCCTGCGCGGCGACATCTCCATGCCCTCGTTCCTGCACGACACTCATGTCCTCCCCCAGCGGCACATCCTCTGAGGCTGCTGATCTAGGGTCACTGCACCAGTTGCCTGACCATGTCACGATTGAGCTGAACAGACCACCGGGCCACTCACTGCCTTGTCCTGCTCCTGCCACCTGACCCTGTTCGAGCGACTTGCAGCCACCACCGAGGCTTTAAGTGTGGCCCCTGCAATACTGTAGGGCAGGGGTGGCCAACCGGTCAGAGACGAAGAGCCAATTTTTTTACTGCGTTACTGCAAAGAGCCACATCATACCCTTCCTCGCGCGTGCGTGTGCACACACACGCGCACGCACACACACAAAGATCGACTTTTGAAGCGACCAACTTCTCACGAACGACCCGATCGCGCACGTGCAAGCATACACACGCGCTCGCACGCACGCACTCACGCGGGTGGCCACCAGTGCACTTGCGCACATATGCACGCACACGTCGCATATCATGATGAGCAACAGTCGGGCCGAAAATGAACGAAAGCTCAAGATACAAACAAACAAATCTTTTTTTTCCCCACCCATTTCCTCCTCCCACCCCTTGCGGTCGACTTGGGACCAGTTGGCTGGCTTCCGGTCGATTCTGATCGACATATTGGGCACCCCTGCCTTAAAATCTGAGCTAATTCGCTGACTAGCTTAGCGCTTAGCGCTGTTGTTTGCACATGAGCGGTGATGCAGTAATCTGATTGGTTGCCCTCTATGTCAATCAAGTAACGGGATTGATGATAGGCTGACTTAATACGTTCTGTGTAGTTAACGCCTTCATTTGAATGGCATCGCCACTGCCGAGGCGTTTTCGACGCTTGTCGTGTGAAAGCCCGGGAGCCGCATTGAACCAGCCAAAGAGCCGCATGCGGCTCGCGAGCCGCGGGTCGGCCACCCCTGCTGTAGGGGCTGGCATAGTGGTCATTGCCTGAATGACAAAAAGCCCCATGTCCTCCGTCAAGCACCCCGTGTCTGCCATCCTGGATGGCCACCAGACTGGCCTTGATGACCAGAACCTATCCCCACTTCCAACCACCATGTTGCGGAGAAAATTTTGGGACATCTACTGTCGTGATCTGTGTTTTTGTTGACTATGTTTTAATGAGATTTTGGTTTTGTTTTCCTTTTTTTCTCATGTCTTATCCCGTTTGGCCCCGCCGGAGTGGCGCCGCGCCTGTAGGGCCCAGAGTGGCGCGGGTTCCAACTGAAGTGGAGGGTTGGAGAATGGTGGAGAAAGAATGCTAAATGCCGTACATTTGATTTGGAATAAGTATCAGCAAATGATTCTAATGTAATTATCTGTGCAGGTGCAAGCAGCTGACGTATCCAGAGGACCTTCCTCAGATCTCTGTGGTCTTTATCTTTGTGAACGAGGCTCTGTCAGTGATACTGCGCTCCGTCCACAGTGTGGTCAACCACACACCAGCTCATCTGCTCAAAGAAATTATCCTAGTGGATGACAACAGCGACAGCGGTAAGTAGTAGCCTTAAAACTGGTCAAATTCGTTTTCATGTTTTTTTTCCTCCAAGTTTTAATGTTGAGCAAAGCCGTTTTGAACGAATGAATAGAATAATTTGGGAGACTGTCAGGTTGGAATGGGCGTTTGAATCTTGGTTTAAACTTTTCAGGTTCAGATTTGCATTGGTCCATAGTTTGCGGGTATGTACTTCCCAGGTACTCTGACCTCCATTCACGGTCCAAAAACATGTCTATCAGTGGTGGGCGGTGTGTTTCAGACCGGGGCCTTCAGTGGTGATTTAAGTGACCATCCCATAATAACACCAACCTGTACTGGATACAAAACACGAAAAACTACGTGATGCATTAAAGAAGCGGCAGCGGCATTTCTTCTATTTGAAAATGACTACCATGATAACGTAAGGAAGAAACTCAGTCACCGTTATCTTCCAAAAACATCACCTTCAAACTACTAATCAATATTGACCTAATAACAAGACAAAAATAACATGTTAAATAAAATACATCCCACTCAACAGAGATGCTAATGCAGGCTGTTCTTTGCTCTTACCTGTCGACATAAGTTAGCAATAGCACTGCTCTGAAAGTGACCCAAAATTCATTTTCCAGGTTCAAACAGGCCAGCAAGCAGAGGTGCTGGTCAACTAATCCTCACAATGTTCACTTTTCCCTGAAAATCACCCCTTGAAAAATATTTTTGTAAGTCTTTTTCGACATCCTCTTTAATCATTCCTGAAATAAAGGCAGCCTTATTTAACTATTCATGTTGTAATAACAAAACTCAACATTTAAAATGTGCATTGTTAATATACTGTTTAAATTTAGGGAGCTCTTGCAGTCATACAATCTGTATGAATTTTGGATAGGCCAATCATGATCGTCTTGGCAAAGTTGTGACGAGTAACTGTGTTGACATTTGAGTTTAATTTGATCCCTCTTGTAACATAAAGCATAGAGTGGGCATTTGTTGTGACTTTAATAATCCATGCAGCCACCCAGACGATTCATTTGTGACAAGTTTCAATGACGCAATGTCAGCTTTAGTCAATGTCTCGAAAGGCAACCATTTCATTTCCCGAAAAGATGTCTCACTGTTCCCGCCCCGCTCCTCAGTCATTCCTCTCAGTCGTCGATGGTATTTCTCGTCAGAACCCTCTCTCAATGATGTTCGGCTTGTGCTGAAAGAGTCGAAATGACCTTCCTGCTTAGACTGAAGAGATCCAATTTTTGGTCACAGGTTGTTACGGTTCCCTTTTGGTCTATAATTTTGTTTGCCTATTGTGTTTGATTTAGGGTTCAGTTTTAGGGTCATGTTTTTCACCCGTGTGTGTGGTTTTTTCCTGTTACTTCCTCTTATCTGCTCATTTGTCTTGTTACACATAAAAGCCATGTTATTGTTTTCTGGGAGTATTTAGTTTCCCGAGATATTTGAAGTCTTTCTCAGTCTCATTGTGTAATGTAGTGCATCAGTCCCCATGCTATGGGTTGTAACTGTGGCAGCTATCGGGGAGTCGAACAAACAATTTGCGTTACGTTTTTGACAACACATTAGCAGTAACGTGATGAGTGTGAGAGCTGACAATTTACAGAATGTGCTATCAATGATTACAATATTCCAACTGAGTAACAAACTGGGGAATCCCTGCGGATGGCCTCAGACTGTCAACGGGTCCTAAAACAGAAAGCCAAGATGATGGGACGAGTCTCATCATTTCCCAGTCTATTTTTTAGTATTGTTTCCATGGTGATGAGAACTAAGCCTTATGTTGTGTGATACTCACATCAGGTCATGATGCTCAACTCCACATCACAAAGGCTTCAGTGTAGAGAGTGGGAGGAACACGGCACCAGATTACACTTGGCCCCTCTTCACTCAACGCGATCATGCTCCTTCAGGTTGGCAGAGTAAAAAGAATTTGAAAAACATATGTTCAACTAAAAGGCACACACCTGCATCTTCACTCCCGGGAGTCAAACAAAATGCATAAAATAAAAAGAAAACAGCAGCAGGAGTACACGCATGCTCATTAACTCATTACACAAAGCTCACAATACGTATTTGTAATATTTGCTTTTGTTTTTGCTTACATTAGGCAATTGTTTTAAAATCTCATTCTTGTCATTCTACTGTGAAGTCGATGGGAAAATTTGTTGTACTTCACTCATTGTATTTACGTCATGAAAAGAAAATACTTGTTTTGTCAGGGCAGCCCGGTGTCGAGTGGTTAGATCGGGGGTCGGCAACCTGCGGCTCCGGAGCCACATGTGGCGCTTTAGTGCCGCCCTAGTGGCTCCCTAGAGCTTTTTCAAAAATGTTTGAAAATGGAAAACGATGGCATAGGGAGATATATTTTAATATGGTTTCTGTAAGAGGACAAACATGACACAAACATTCTTGCCGTTTTCCAATGCTGTAAAAATGTGTAGAATAAATATTAAATTTCAACATTTCTGTCAACGGAGATTTGCGTCACAGCCTGCGACACACATTTCTATTAGCAGGGTGGCGGTACCAGACAGGTGGTTGTTATTTAAAAAAAAAAAAAACGGTGTTTCCTATACAATTCACCGAGGGTACTGGCAGAGAATGGGAATCTGGAGGGTGTGTCTTTCATGAAATGCTGGATGTAATTAAAACACATCTCATGAAAATATTTGAATATTCCTCATCCACATGGTATTGTGGCAGAAGGAGCATGTTGAATGCAAACAAGTCTTGACTTCCAGACTGCCGAAAAATCAAGTCACAGCTGCAGTATTATCAAATGTGTTCATATTGGTTGTTTGACTGCATACTTTTACAAGACATGCACAGTGTGCACAATCTTTTATGTCATGTTTTTCATGAAGAAGGATACAAACGGAAAAAGTGTTCAAAAATAAACTGCTTTACTCTATTCGAGCTTGCCAATAAAGCTACGCGAGAAATGTTGATACTTGAAATGCTTGACAACCCAACCATTCTTAATGCTGTCATGACATGTCACTGTCTAATCTGCTCTTTTTACAGTGGAGCTGAAATTCAACTTGGATCAGTATGTGAACAAACGTTACCCTGGCCTGGTCAAGATAGTGAGGAACAGCAAACGAGAGGGTCTGATCCGAGCCAGAATACATGGTTGGAACGCGGCCACGGCTCCTGTTGTTGGCTTCTTTGATGCCCACGTCGAGTTCAACATTGGCTGGTAAGAGAAGGTCATGTTTAATACAAGCGGCCCCCGGGCTGCCGCTCTCTATGCACAGAGTAAGCACAGTACATGGGGCACAATCATCTCTGTAGGGGTTCCCAATTTTAGCAATGGTGACATCATCACATGCACTCGCCATGCACGATCGCTCCATTTTATTTATTTATTTATTTTTAAGAATCATTCGATTCTTTTAGTCAATACTATAAAATTCTCGGGCTGTATGGCACATCCATTCAAATCATATCTCAGATGCACAATGACTCTTACGAAAGGCTGCTTTTTACTTCGGTGTGTTCCAACTTGTATTTTAAATGTTTTGCATTTCATTTCATGAAACCATGACAGTGATTAGTCTGACAAACAATGACCTCTCAGCCATGTAACGTGCCAACGATTGTGTATTAAAAAAAAAAAAAAAAAGCAAAGGTATACGTGAGCAACGATAGTTAACACACTGCAAAAGTGCATTCCGTGCCTCGGCATGCGTGTGTAAGTGTGTTCATATGCGTGCGTGCGATCACGGGTCAATCTCGGGAGGCTGGCTTATTGAAAAGTAGATCTTCGGTCAAAAAAGGTTGGGCACCCCTGCACAACAGGATGCACTGCAGGGAAAAAAAACATTTCATCATGAAGGCTCCTTGTGTATTTGTAGCCAACTTAGTCTTTTTGATTGCAGGCTAATATGGCAAATATAGCTACATTACAGCATGTGTTTCCTTCATTAAAAGGCTAAAAAGAGGCTTTTAATTTTCTACAGCTCCAGATACATTTGTTTTTCGTTTTTTGGTCCAATATGGCTGTTTCAACATTTTGGGTTGCCGACCCCTGGGTTATATCATCGACCTCACAGTGCAGAGGTACCGGGTTCGATTCCAGCTTTGGCCTTCCTGTGTGGAGTTTGCATGTTCTCACCGTGCCTGCGTGGGTTCGGCTCCAGCACCCCCCGCCACCCTTGTGAGGATAAAGCAGATCACAAAATGGATGTCAGTAAACCCAATTTTCACTGGAAACGTTTTTCTGCTGTATGTGGAACATCATGCGACCAAACCCAGCAAAACAGGTTAGCAGAAGAACTAGCATAACAGCAGATTGATGACATGTTGGTTATGTTCGGTGCTTTCTCATGTCTTGATTACCGATTTGCTTTACTGTTTGTGGTATATGTTGAATTGCTCCATGTATAGCACTTTGTATGCAGCGATGGCTGTTTGAAAGTGCTCTATAAATACAGTTGAGTTGAGTTGAGTTGAGTTGAGTTGAAGCCAAACTCAAATTTGGTTGTCTTTATGGATGGGGACTTCGGACAAATGTTAAATCACTTACCTGTACCGGAAGGAAGTCCTTTAATCTGTTTTGCCCAATCTGGAAGTTGGTTATGCATTTTACTAATCAGAGGACAATCCTTTCCTGACAGAAAATCGACATGAATATGGGGTTGGAGATACAGTGGGTTTAATCCTGCTCAACAGCACTCTGTCAATGACTTGGTGGAATGAGACAGACCTCTAAGCAACCTTTTTTAGAACTCGATGATTATTTAACAAAAAAGAAAAAAGATAATTATTGTTATTCAAATTAGCCACAAAAAATTAATTAAATAAAATAGGACTTCACAATTAAATTGATTTATTTTATTGACTCACTTTAACAATTTGATGCTCCGGAATGAATCTGTTCATCACATATCTTTTATTAACAGCATGATTCCAACTTGTTCATTAAATTATCATTTCAAATGCCATTAGGAAGTACGGTTGTTTGAACCTCACAGAACACAAACGCTAAAATCGTCGGCACATTTTTAAGATAAGCAGTGCCCCACTTAAAAGAAATATAAATAAAGTCAACAAAGGAAAATAAAGTCACATGTATTTATTTTTGTCAAATGAATTTTCAGTTTTCCCAGAAGCAGTTACGAAAAACCAAACAAAAACTGGTCAACAGAATACGATATGACGGTCATTGCAGTGTGTAGTTTATTGTGATTGTCTTGTACTGCATGACTGTTGGTTTTCCATATTTTCAGTGATCGGTGCATCGTCACTCAAAGGTCAGATTTGGTGCTAGTAGTTCAGACTTTATGTTTGAAGTACAATCATGAATCCTTTGCGAAAGATGTACAAGCTATGTATTTGGAGCCTTTCTCACCTGACGTGAGATAAATAACAAGCAAACTCGGCCGCTTCATCTCTTCTGGCTGTCCTCCTCCTCCCCCTCACGTATGAATTGAAACGTTTAAGATAAATGACACACAAGGTGCATGTTTTCTATTTCCCCACAACACATTACTGTAGTTCGCTTAGACGGAATGCAACCTCGTAGTCATATATTGATGAGTTCCGCTTTGGCTGAACGGGTGTAAGCGCAAATGTGTGTGTGTGTGTGTGTGTGTGTGTGTGTGTGTGTGTGTGTGTGTGTGTGTGTGTGTGTGTGTGTGTGTGTGGGTGTGTGTG